CCTTCAGTATAGAGAATTGTTTATGATTTTTTTATTTAGTATATAGTGCCTTTAGACACGGGTAATTACTCAATATATATATATATATATATAATATATATATATATATAGATATATATATAGAATATATATAGTCTTACCCCTTTATGGATATAGATAGATATGAGAGAGAAAAAATTTTAATGTTAATTAAACTCCTAAAATTTAGAAATTTTTAATTTTTTGTTACTTTCACACTTTAAAGAGAATGAATAGTTTGGTAAAATTGAAAAAAAACGATTTCATAACAAATAAATATCCTTGGCGGCTTAAGTCCATATAGGAGGCGCGACCTCCAAATTTTTCAGTTTATTTCAGTTTATTTTTTGATTTGGATCATACTTAAGAGTTATAAAAAATAGGGCCTTCATTTTAGAAGGGCCTAAAACGACTACTTCTTCGGCCTAGTTATTGAGTCAGCCCCCGATTATACACCAAAGTTGAAAAAGCACAAGGACGGTTTAGATTTAATTCAATTTTAACTCAATGCTCCAAATTTCATATCACTTCTTGTAATTTAATTCAAATGCTCACAATGCATTTTACAAAAATACATCTTCTTGTCCAGTTTGACAACATAATCCACCCATAACACAATCCAAAGCCAGCAGATCCTCCCATCTCAGGAGTCCTCTCTCTCTCTCTCTCTCTCTCTCTCTCTTTGTGTAAAGGTTTGGAAATTTTTTTAATACTTTATTCTTCTCAGAAGAGGTATATATATATTTTACAAAAGTATATAGAAAGAAACTATAATTGTCTACCTAATTACGGTGTAAAAATAATGTATAAAACATTGTGTTCACACTAAAGAAATATTATGTTCACACTACGGTTTAACACTCATGCAAACTTGGTGGCCGCTGATAGACAAGTTTGGAGCGCAAGAGCTAGAAGCGATGCTTATGAAGCCCCTTTATTAGTAAATAAATCAACAAGCTAATCAAGAGAGGGTACGAATTGAACTTTATGCTAACTACCACACCTTTTAAGATTTCATAATCTTTGGTGGTTACTTCACTTTTAATTTGTTCAATTTATTTTGCACATTAAAGAGTATTTTTTCAATAATGCTGGTGGTAGAGGTGACAATGAAGAGAGATTGTAATTGTCGTCAATGATCAAAATATTATTACAAAATATTTGAAACAATCCAAACTTTCAATTTTCAAAGAGACCAAATTGAATCATCAAAATTTCAATACTTCAAAATACTTTGGAGTGTTTTAAGATATTTCGAAATGATTCCACTAATATTTTTGAGTTGTTTCAAGATGTTCTATTATATTTTGACAAATGTTTTGTAAAGAAATATATATATATATATATATTTTTTTATTTGTTTCCACTTTGTTTTCAAAATGTTTGCAAAATAATGTCGAGACATTTCTATTTCTTTGGTGACAGAAACAATGTACAAAAATGATTTTTTAATCCTTGAATGTTGTGAATCTCACAAAATAACAGCTAATAATAAGTTAAACATATGTCAACTAAACTTAAGTATTTGAGAAACGATACGAGAATCTTCTTAGTGATGTTGTAAAAGCCCACATTTGTACTAATATAAAAAAAATATAATTTTGAATTTGATGGCTATCAAGTTGAATAGACATTTTTTTTTTATCAGATACTATTATAAGAGAAAGGGACAATAGAGTTCAAAATCGGGACGTTAAGGTCTAACAACGGGAATAACGGCTATTAAGTCAATCACTAACAGGATAGATACATGGAAACTTTTGCACTTCTTCACTTTTTTTTTTGGTCATTCACTACTTCTACTTAAAAACTCAAATAATGGCTGCTTGCATAATTTCTTAAACGCCAATTGGTCTCCTTTTCACTTTACCAAAACTCAGAACGTTTAAAAGACAGATTTCGTTTTATGTTCCCAGCAAGTTGAGAAAAAAGGTTCAGTTACATTGTCAAGTTTAGCTTCTACCAAAAGTTCAATTCATTAGCAATGTATTGCAGTTCATCTTTTCCGAATATCAACTCCCAAAAAAGGAATGTCAACTCAGGCCAAATTCACCTTACAAAAACAATTTCATCCCAAAATAAAATTAATTTGGGGCCTACGCTTGCCTGAAAGTTTGAAAATTTCCGTATAATTGCTGCTTCAAAGTCTGTCCAAGGTAATTTTTCTTTTCACAATGGCAAATGTATTATAACAAGCCACACCTTGTTCAAACTCTGAACAATACATGATTATTACAAACCACAAAAGTAGCTCACATATATGGGACGGACATATACAAGTTGAAGTTCAGAAGAAATAAGGCCATACATGGTGTTCCCTTCCATGGACTTGGTATCAAAATGCATGACCAACACCAACTGGAAACCCACCACTCATAACACAATCTGCAATAACTAAGCTTCGAAGGTTTTTGAAGATAACTAGATGTAATATTCACACACATAACAGTACCCATCATTCTTCCTAGCTATCAGCCCGGAACATAATAATCCATTCTGTCCACAGGCAGATTCAGAACCGACGTTTCCACCTATAGACACAGAAGAAAAAGGTAAGTGTAATCGAATAACAATACCGCATGTAATAATTAACATTATCAGAGGAACTTAAGAACTATTTAACCGGCAAGTAATCAAAAAGTCTAAAACTTCAGGATGGGAAACTTGTTTTGGACAAATATCCTAGGTTTTATTAAACACTCCAATGTAAGACATGATTGAAAGCTAAAGTCAGTATGCAATTCGCCAATAGGTTGCTAGAGATTGTAAGGGAGAAGACAATCTAGTAATACAACTACATATAATTGACTCCATTCCCAATAGATTTCTTTTTCCTGAATGTGTTATTCACAACTAACCCAAAAGCCTAAGTGGCGAGCTGAATCAAGATGAGACGGGGTGGACAACTCAACGACTATAGCGCCAAAGAACTATAAATATATGAAGGTTTAAAAGTCTATTAACGGATGCTAAGTGAGAGTCACTCACTCACAGTATGTGATCAAGAGCTATAAAAACTAAGATGGCTCCCTCTAAAAACTTAAAGAAAGGGACTAAAGCCTGAAGCATAGTAGCCCTTCATATGGAAAAAAAGATATAAAAAAAGGATTGTTATAAACTTATAAACTCTATGAATGTCTCTGTACCCTAAAAAAGTTCTTGAATACCCAAAATGATGCTAAAAAACACATAGAGGATCTATTCAGCATATACCATGCCATGTCATCCAATGAGAACATCAACGACCACAACTCCCCGGTCATTAAGCATAACAAAACCTGAGTTGCACAAACACATATAGAATCTATTCGGGAGATGAAAGCCCCTCCTCCCTAGGTCATTTGCTGTGCGAATATACCCCATGCCACATATGAAAAATGCAACCTTGGAAGGAACCTTCTGTGACCAAACCCATCACATATCCAATGATGGTAGCCAGCCACTGCTTTAGAAATGATGTTTTCATGTCGTGATACAAGGTTACCTCACTTTATTGAACTAGCAAACAACAAAACAACAGTCCAAAAATGCATCCTATACAATGTCTACATGGAAATGTGTTACCCTTTTTCTCGGTTGCACACAACATCAGGCACATAAGACACCCAGTCACCCATACCATATTCCAGTTCCGTGGTACCTCAGAGAGATACTTCTTATTACTGATTGAAAAAAAAAAAAATAGATGCTTTTCATTTCCTAAAGTTTCCATATAACAACTCAGGAATGCCATGTCTGTTTTTGTATATTTGCTATGCACAATAGACAATGATGTCAAAATTGAGAGCAAAACTTAATGCAAATTAATGTGCACTTTCTGAACCCTTTTCTTACCATATTATATCAGGACACGTTTCTAAACCTTAGATTTAATGATGCTCAATTGTTGGAAGTTTTCCTGTATCATTTTTTTCCACTGACACTTCTAAATCAGTTGTATTTTATATTGTAAATGTTCAGAACATCAATTGAAATCAGTTATAGAGCACTGATAGCATAATAAACCAGTCTTTTGAAACAACTGTAGTGTATATGATGTTTTACAGATTTTGCATCAAATTCAGGATTCTGAAATTATCAATGAAAAACAAATTCAGAAGTTAGGAAATTTCTGCTCATAATTTATTTAACATAAAAAAAACTACAAAGCCGTCTTTTCAGCTCATAAGCCGACAACTCAGAAGATTCTGGATACGTCAAAGCTACTGGTAGCTTCATTTTACATTTACTGAACGTAACAACATCAGTAGAATACAACATTCAAGTTCAACAATTAATGATTATATAAACAAGTAGAACACATCAAAGCATTTTATCAGTGTTTCAGTGCAAATCAAAACCTAGATAAAACAAAATTTACCTCCTCGAATGGAATAAAGACAAAAGGTGTTAGACCCCTCTTGTGTGAAATAGCAGGAACATCTGGGTTGTGAGTTTCGTCCTCCTGCCACCCTCCAACTACTCCAAGAATGTCCTCATCAGGGCCATTAGCCTCGTTATCATTCACACCACTCGTAACAAGTGAGTGTAGATCCATCCGATTGTTAGCTCCTGCTGTTGTCCCCCTCAACCTTTAGCAAACATAGAACCCACAAAATGGTTGGAATACGAAACAGTTGGAACTAATAGACGAAATGAGAAAAGTGAGTTCAACTGTGTCAAATGTATTAAACAACGATGACAACAGTAATTGTCAAAATATCCATCTAAGATGAACCAAAATTAATTTAAACATGTTATGACTAGTTGTTAACGCTCAATGGTGCTCTAACACTAATGAATCGTCAGATGCATATATATATTCATATCCGGATACATGCACACACACAGGAGTTACTGTGTGCACCATCTCAGTATCGATTCATAACCATCAAAAGGCACCTGATGAAGATTACAGAGATCGAAGATGATAATAGCTATGAAAACAACCATGACTCCCTCAGGGCCAAGTTTAAGGAGACCTTAGGGGCAGTAATCATGGTTCATACTTGCTTGGTCCATTCACTTAATGAAAGACGAATTTCAGAAAACAACCATAAAACCAGTTATCCTTTATAGTATTAAATGTTGGATAATTAAGAAACAGTGCGCTTAAAAATTAAAGTGTGCTAAAAATGAGAATATTAAGATGGATATTTGGTAAAACTAGGAGGATAGAATAAGTAATGATTATATCCATGAAAAAGTAGAAGTAGCAAAAATAAAATTTAAAAAGAGTCCACTTAGGTAGTTTAGAGCCGTTATACTTAACCTATTGTTGCACCTGCAATAACGAGTGATGTGACATATATTGACGGTAATGAGTGGGGTAGAGGCACACTGAAATTAACTTCAAATGAGAGCAAAAACAGATATGGTGTGCGTCATTTAACTGGGAAGAAATCACCCTTCATAGAGCACAATTACAAACCAAGAGTCCAAGATTCAAATAGCAGATCTCAAGTAGTTGGGATAATATTTTGTTGAGTAGGGCTGAGTATCACACACCAATACAGCGGAGAAGTTTTGTATACAATACTAGCACAAGATATTAAATGACAGGACAACTAAGGGCAACACATGGAATACCTTAAGCGGATTCTCAAAACAGTTGGACGCAAGCCAGGATACAAAAGTGCAGCTTCAACCTGCAAATGGAGGGGAATATATAAATACCTCCTAACTGCAAAGTACAAAATGAGCATGAAAGGGGGCAAACACTTTGCTGGATGGGATACTCACTAACAAATTCAAAACCATCCATATTGGTCAACAGAATTACTGAACACGTGGGAGAATTCCAATCTGCCATACTATGGAATTCAAATGGTTGGAGACCTGGTGAGAAAAAGAAACTGACCTTGTCCTCAGACAATGTGTAGTGGCCACCGAAGACACAGTCTACTTTAGATGCACGGAAATTCATGCATTTTGCCACATCCTTCACTTTTTGTGATGAATTCTAACCATTGCAGGTAAACAAAACATGGTTTAAATCAGCTATACCAACAAAACTAATTTTCTCTTCTAGTTCAGTCAATGCACTAAATCAGGATATATAACCTTATAGAGAAATCTGCCAGAAGGATAAAATCTCAAGTAGCGGAAATAGCAGACCTGCAAGACGAAGAATACAACAGTAAGAACTAGATAACATATCTCACAAGCCAATCCTACTAATACTCTTCAAGACTTCAAGACCACATTATTGTGGTCTGGCAAACAATCTGTCATGCTCAACAGTCACTATAAGGCAAACGCTGTAATACACAATTGAAATGCAATACCTTTAATGAACCAGAAGGAGAAATTAGATTGAATTCTCCATTGAAAGAAAAATTTCAGCAATTACCATCTTGCAAGTTGTTTTAATCTATTTACAAGGGCTGCTAATATGTTGTAGAATGACAAGACTAAATTGCAATTAATTTGGATGAGCTGTTGTAACTGCCCAAGAACTATCAGAAGACCATATGCTTATGGGCCACAAAGGAAACTACCTTTCATAATTCACAAAACTTTAGTTGAATGTATGGATCCTCATTTTTTTCTTTTTGGGTTTGAAGATGAACATTGAATTAACCACACATATTCAAATGGCCTAACAATTTGTTTATAAAGCATGATGTCAGGTTTATACTCATGAGATCTATTTAACTACTATTGCTATTGAAGATAAAGACTTTAGGCTCTATATGTCTTGCACTGCCACAAACTGAATCACATCATTCCAACTTTCTCCTTAGTGTAGACTTTATCCAATACCTACAGGAGACAGGAATTTTACCCTAGTATACATGTCATGTTGCAACAGAAAATGTAGAGAAGCATACCACATGAACGGGATTGGTAATCTTCCACTCAGCTACTCCGGCACGAATATAGGTGTTCCTACTGACATAAAGACCTGATGGATGACTGAAGATTCAGTATTTTAAACACACTACTTGAATATCAAAACAAAGAATTAGCTAAAAATATCTTATTCAGCTTACGAGATATTATGATGAATCTAAAATATGGCAGTACATTGTCAATAGACGTGAAACAGATGCGGAATTTGAACCGAAGAAAACCAGCAGCATAAGAAGTAAGCCACATCAACAAGTTACAAAACTAAGGCAAATGCATCTTATTCTGGAAGTCATTTAGACTAGATGTACAAAGTTACACTTACCATCAGTACGGATCCTCGGTCTTAAAAGCCACATCTTCCTCCATGAACCATCATATCTCAAATGCAAAGCCCTATAATTTTCCACCACACCAGAGAACTACAACAATATTGTCCAAATTTTAATATTTTTAGGACGAAATATATTCCACTGAAGTATAATGATAAAAGTTCATAACCAATGTAAGCCTACCTGCCAAGCCTTTAAGCATGCATTGCGCCAAAACATAGGGTTACGGATCGTATATCTCCATTTCCGACAAACACAAGCTGCCCTCCCTAGAGCGTACGGGGTCATTCTTGAGAAAATCTATGCATAAATATCCAATATGCAAAGTTATCAAATAGGAAGAGGAAATATCACTTCAAATAAGGATTTTTCGATAAAATGCAAGTTGAATGCTCCCTAAGAAAATAAGAAAACACAATATAACTGAACAATAATTAAGAACATCAAAATACGGCATTGTAATGAAAAATTAGATCAGAGATTTGATGTATTGTGTGATCCAGTGTTTTGAAAAGCTCGCCTAGGCAAGAAGCGAAGCCAAGCGAGGGTCTCTCGCCTTGAGCACCCCAGGCAAAGCGAATGTGACTGAAGCGAGAAAAAAACGAGAAAAGCAAAAGGCGAGAAAGCGAGCGCCTTAGTCATACAAGACGAAGTTGTCTTGGATTGTTTTATTTTTATTATGGATTGTTGGACTGGACAATTGAAAAAAAAATTATAAGATGCCCATACCCGGAATTATCCCTTTATCCCATAAATATAGCCTTCAAACCCTAATTTTGCTAAAATGATCAGACATGATTGCTGGCTTCTGCTGCTTCTTCCTCGCTGGACACAGACGACGACGACCACTGCTAGTCAGACACACAGGTTAGTCTCCTTCTCTTTTTCTTCTCTCTTCTATTTCTCTTCTTCTCTCTTCTGGCTCTAATTCTTTTTCTCTCTTCTGGTTCTTCTTTTTTTTTTTCTGCTTCTGTTGATTGTCTGATGCTGAGATTTTTTTTTCTATTTCTGTTTTTTTTTTTGATTATGCTTCTATTTTCGTTTTCTGATTCTACTTCTATTTTTTTTTTTTTGCTTCTGCTTCTGCTGTTTTGCTGTTCTACTTCTGCTGTTCTGATAGTACTGATTTTGCTGTTATGATAATGTTGTTCTACTTCTGCTGTTTTGTTATATAGTCACTCTTTGTTTTGATGATCCAAGCTTGAACATCAGTCAATATGAAATTGTTTACAACTCTGTTATGAAATGTGATTCAATACGTGTACAAGCCCACGACTGTACATATAAATAGATTTACAAAAACAGCTGTGGTTGATATACTTTAACAATAACACAATACCTTTTAGGATTTTGGATATTATTAGTGTTTGTTTAAATTTAAATGTTTAAGTTATGACTCTTATTAAGATTTGAGATATTATTAGTGTTTGTTTTAATTTAAATATTTACGATTTTAGTTGCATTTAAATATTTAGTATATATAAAATTAGAACTTAAGATGTTTAGAAGTAATTAAACTAAAATATTTACTTTTTTTTAACTGTTCGCTTCGCTTTGGTAAAGCGTTTCCCTTTGCTTCTCGCTTCTCGCTTAGACTTTAGGAGCCTTGGTCGCTTCGGTTTGCTTTACACCTTAAATAACATTGGTGTGATCAACATATATCTCTTAAATTGAAAGGAAAATCTACAAGTCATTAGACCAACAATGCTTTACGATACAAAATATTGGACAATCAAGAAACAACATACTCAAAATTTAAGTGTTTACAAATGTACAAATTTGTGAAACTATAGAAATAACACAAATAGGACATAAATAAGAGAGAATTAACTTAGGGGATTGGTATGTATACAGAAAACTTAGTAAGCACTAGTGTGGAAGATTATTTTGATACAGATTGGAGGTCACACGAGAGGTAGAGGAAAGTTGAAATTTAATCTGACGTAGTAAAAAAGAATATGATAGCTCATAGTTTAATAGATAATATGATCATTGATAGAGAAAAATGGAGAAAAATAAATTGTGTAACCAACTCTAAATAGTTTTTTTTTTTTATCAAAGACTCTAAATAGTTGAGAATTGAGATAAAAGCTTTCTCAAGTTGAGTTGAAATAGAATTTAAATGAAATATCACTCCCATGATTTCTGTAATTCAAGCAACATTGTTCACTGATTATCTACCTTGCACATGTTCAAGTAAGCATCAACAAGTCAAACACAAAGGTTCCAAAGTTTGCATGATATTTAAAAGTTCATTTTAGATTCCTCTTTACCTTCGTGTTTATATATGTAAAACTTTCAGATCCACCCATTCTAGTAATTTCTTGATAATTCTCCATGTAACTTGTAATTGTTAAAAGATTACCTCTTTATGTCAAATATATACATCATTTTCTACCCCTTATACTTCTTATTCAAATTAATAAATTGCGCTTCAAATCGAAAATATGCTTCATAAGATTCAAAGATCAGCTTCCCACTTTCTCAGAAGTATGACTATCTAAAATAAAGGCCAAGAGGCACAATCCATAAATATCTAAAATCCCAACTTTCCAAGTTGAATATACATGAATTCTTTCGACTATCTAGTTCTATCTATCTCATCATGAGCTCAAGATATTAGACCATACAATTTAGGGGTAAACAAAGAACCATAATAGTCTGAAGGAAATATTCTCCAAAAGTGGAAAAAGGGATTGTAAATAGGCATTAGATGGAGAAAACAAAAAGTTTCATCCATCAGTAAAGTTTGATTTGAAACAAAAGACTATTCTCCATTGGTAAAGTTTGATTTGAAACAAAAGGCCGAGGGAAGATGTTGAAAACCAAACTTGACAAATTGGCCAACCTCCATTACCATCTACAGTCATTGAAATGATATGTCATCCAAACACCTTCATTAAATCAGTTGACTCGCTCCACATTTGGTGTGAGAGAGGAAATGTAAATTCTTCATAGGTCCATCCTTCTTCTACTTCATTTTTGTCCGTATCCTTTCAATCTTTCCCCTTCTACCTCCTCCTTGTTTTCTCCCTCATAACATGAGGCTTGCCAATAGCATGTCAAATTTTGCTTATTTTCTACAAAAATCTTTCTACATATGCCGAGAGTGAAGTCCCTACCATGTACTGGACTAGCTTATCTCACATCAGCAGACAGATATCAATGTGCCTGCCCAATTCCATCTGGTCCAAATAAAAACCATACCGCTTGGCATTTGGAACAATATTGTTTAAACTCCCCACTTGATACTTACCAAAAAAATTTGATAAATGGTAATGCTCACTTAACATCATGACGTTCATGTACAATCCATACTAGATTTGACCAATTACCCATCCTACCTTGTCTATGTTCTTGGCATGCCATCTTTGTCCCTGTAAAGTCTTAGCTAAAACTTTGAAATCTATGTGAAAGTAAAAATTGGCATAGATCTAAGAAAAGCAGCAGAGCACATTCCTATTGAATATATTGGTCAAATTAAAATCATTAGATAGAACATGCAAGTTATATGTAGAGGAATTTAAAATGTAAAAATTAAAGACGAATGCATAAAGCAAAACTATTGACTTTAGTAAGTGCACCATGCTACATTATACTAATAGCGAATAGGACAAAAGTCCAATGGGCTTAGAATGAACAACAATACCTCAAAGAGTAGCTCATCAGGCAAGCATCGGTGTATCAGTGCAGGATCAACAAATGGCTTACTGCTTGCACTCCCAAAAGGAGCAACAGGTCTAACATTAACCCCATAAAGATCTGGAATAAAAAAAAAATAGCAATGACTAGAAAAAGACTACTTTCCATAACTTGAATTGGTATACTAAAATATAGAACACCCACACCATACTATCAACAAGTCATACAAATAACATATATAGAACTAAATCACAACCAAGTACAGCAAAAGAATGGCCTATGAGAGGAATAGTACCAAGCCATGGTCTTTGTGTTACAAAGAACTGTGCGGCCCTTACACGCGAAACTGATTCGAGCTCAGCCGAAAGTTTTAAAGCATAATCTGCAAGAAGTGGGCAATGACTCAGAACAAATAGCCAAAATAACATAACCCTGACGCCATAAATTAAGGAATTCTTCAAATTAACAAAATTTTCCCCACAAAAATTTGCCTTTAAATTCTACACCACAAAAACCCAGACAGAATAACAGAAAATATTGAGAAATGAGCAATAGCCAGATTGTGAAATCTAATAAAACAACGAAATTCATGAAAATTAATGATACTATGTCGTACAAAAAGCCATGGTGTTATGAATGGAAGACTTAAAAAAAGGAGTTTGAATGGGGCCTCTGTCATTTTATTGAAGGAAATGTGAGTGTTTCTGCGATTTTGAAGAGAAATACCTGAAGTCATGAGGGTTTGGATGGTTCTTCCCCGGAAGAGATCGTAGGTTTTTTCCCGACAAAATGGGGAAGAAAAGAGAAGCTGAAATTTACGAAAACAGATCGTCACAACTTTCTCGCCAAACACCGACTGCCCAATTCAGCGATTCTGAGCTTCTGACCAGTCAGCTTAAGGTGGGCCCATATCCGGAAATTAAGTGGTCCGGTTAATAGTGTACACCCGGCCCGGGTTTATTCGGAGTAGCCCCAAAATCAACCACGGAAAAGTGAAAGACGTTGCAGAGAAAATTAGGAACAGAAAATTAGGACATGTTTAGTTTTGGTACAAACAAAGGATGAGATTAGATAATTAATTTTTATTTAATTTATATAAATGATATTAATAAGATTATTATTTAATCATATTCTTCGTATAATAAATTTGTATTAGGGTTGGGATAAGGTATTAGGTTTAGGACTATCTTAATTTTCAATTGTAATCGTAATCGTAATCCTGATTAATAAAACGAAGAAGTAGCACATTCCTGATCACAAACAAAAACAAAAGGTAGGTGCTATTCTATCCCCATAATTAGGAATCTTTTTGTCTTAGGCTGCCAATTTCTCATAGACACTGTAACAACAAAATTTTGCGATGTAATATGATATAAAAGTAATGTCAAAATTATAATTATTTATGATTTAACCTAAGTTAATAAAGTGGTGAGTGCGTCTCACTTGCCGATCCTTTGATTTTTGGTGAATTTAATGATGACGAAAGCTTGATCAATGTGTTTCTCGATATTTGATTTGATGTTGACTTTGGTAATTTGATGAAAACAATGACTTGACCAACGTATTCTTCAATCTTTGATTTGGTGATACGTTGGTAGATTTGTTGAAAACGAGAGTCGGATTGACATGATTCTTGTTTTTCAATCTTTGATTTAGTAGATTTATTGAAGATGAAGGTCAGATTAACGTAAATCTTGTTCTTCGATCTTTGATTTGTTGAATTTGTTGGATCTTCTCACCGTTCTTTATGTTGAATAGCTTGAAGATGATTTGAATCTCTTGAAGAATGATGATTTGCTCTTTTTTTCTTGAGATGGATTTGTAAGACTTTAGTTAGGGGTAGACGTAAGACTTTAATTAGGGGTAGACTCTAAGAGAGCTACGCTGTTGATCTTCCTTTTTTCCCCTAAAATGGACTCAACCAGAGCTTCTTGATCTTCTCTCATCCTTGGCTTCTCTTATTGGCCTCCTTTTTGACTTCTTCTTTTTGACATCCCCAGATCTCTATTTATAGTGCTAGGTATAATTATTCATATAAGAACATTTAAACTGAATACCCTTATGTGGGCTTTAAATAGTGGGTTATTCATAATTTTATGGGTTTTAGTTAATTTATAAAATTTAATTCCAACCCACTTTGCTTTTTAAAAGTTTGTTTAATTTGAGCCTATGAAATTTAAGTCCGTTTTAATTTAATTTAAAAAGCCTGATTAATTATATTTGGACTTGTATTATTTGAGTTGTGCAATTTAAGTCCAACTCAGACCAATGAAATTTGGATCCAAACAAATTTAATTTTGAAAGTCCATTTTGATTTTGTTTTATTTTGGGTTTATGAAATTTAAGTCCAACCCACTTTAATTTTAGGAAGTTATTTAATGGGTTTTTTTGGGTGTGGGTATAATTTTTTAGACTTACTTGAGCAAAAGTGTATAGATAAGTTATTTACTCTATTAAGTATAATTTTTATAAAATTTTTGTGTTTAGGTGCAAAATTTAAATGAATTAAAAACTTTTTTACTTAAACGTCATTTCTTAAATTATGTAGTCATTATTGACAGTTATTTGAGGAAACAAATATGTAAAGATTAACAATAGTAATGAGAGGTAAAATAAGAGTTTACAGAGAGCAAGAGAGAGCAAAAGCAAAAGTTTTCGTGCTAGAAGATGAAGATGAAGGAGTATGAGTACTAAGTATAAGTGAAACATATATATATATATATATACCACTAACCTCGCTTCCACATCATCTGAGCAAAAGGAATAAAGTCATTTATTATGATGATTGATTAATCAAACTCTGAAATTTTTTCAAAAAAAAAAAAAAAGAGAATTGGTCGAGATATTTTGTTAGATATTATATATTGTTCGTTGTTGGGATGTAGGAGAAAAAAATTCTTTGTTTTTTTAATGGGTGTAACTGTTTTTTAATAAATGTAATTATTTTTTTAATAGGTGTAACTATTTTTTAATGAGTGTAACTATTTTTTTAATGAGTGTAACAATCACAGTCTCATGCAATTGTTAAAACATGATAGTGTAACGATGTTGCGATACTAAATGATGCAACTATTTAGTTTATGTAAATAAACTGAATGATAAATTGGGTTAGTATCATAATTTTGTATAATTGGTTGGTTTATTAGAACACATGAATAACTGTTTGGTGTATTAGAACACATGAATAACTGTTTGGTGTATTATAAGACAATTGTAACTGATTAGTAGAATTGTGTTGTTATAATCTTAATATAAATAGAGTAAGAGAAAATAGGGGAGAGAGAAAAACTGTCAGAGAAAATATGTCCCTATTTTATATCTCATTACTTGATTGTAGCAAAAAAAAAAAACAGAATGAATATAAAAGGGTTTCCATCTATCTGCTGTACAATGAATGACAATAGTGTCATTTTTAAAAAATATGCACTTTATTCTAAATAAGTTTTTGAGTTGTATTTTTGCCTAAATAAGTCTAAAAAATTGTACCGAATTTCAAATCCCCTTATGTAATTGGATTTGGGCTTAGCAATAAACTAATTTTTTTTAGTGTCTACTACAGACACGTAAACATAACTCAAAACTGATACGCAGTTAGAGGATTATCATTTCTTGACATAAAACTCAAAAATGACATGACTTAATAACATAAATAATACATGAGTTGTGTTAGTGTCAAATACGAATAACACGATTAACTAGTATTATACGCAAAAATGCCAACTTTTCGATATTTTTTTATCTAGTATTGCCGTAACTTTGGTTTCATAAGAAGATTTTTAAATTTTTTTTTTTGATATCTCAGTTATCTTGGTAAATTACCGTAATACTACCCAGCTCATGTACTCGATTAATGTTGGATCTTGTGCAAAATTGTCTCTTAACACAAGGGGGTAAATCTCTGAATGGTGACCTCAAGAGCCATGCTTCGTGGAATATTCGGATCTCTGATCTACCCTCGTGAAAAATTTATCAAGGGCTGAGTTACACTAGGCTAAGCTACTCATTTTTGTGATATCCATAAAGTGAACGAGTATCTGGACACAATAGTTACATCAACGTCAGTTTTACTTCTGTTAACCTTAGTTTTTGTTAGCAATTAAACTTTTCTCTTGCTATGAAAAAGTCACACTCCAGTAATCAAGCGTTGTTAACCACATATCAATGAATGTAAAAAAAAAAAAAAAAATCCAAAACCTCATACCATCTTCCAAAGCAAACAGGAACATAATGTACATGAAATATTTCTCTAGTATAAATTTAAGCACGAGAAATATTATATGATTTATTATTGAATTACTCTATGAAAAATAAAATCCAATATCAACAGTACATCGAAGGAAAACATAAAATTTATTAAAATCTAAAAAAAAAATCTATAATTGATTCTATTATAAGTTCCTTAATAATTTCTATAAAAGAGGTCGTTACAAAGTTATCACTATTTCTTTTTTTGCAAAGCTAATTGAAATCATTTTACATCTTGTTTACAAAATTTAATCTTTGAAAAATAAATAAACCACTTCTTGGATTGGGTTAAAAAAATTGTATAATTTGCATATCTTCGTGTTTTACTCACTTACAAGCGATGAATCCGCTACAAAAAAAGAGAGTAAAGAGCAACTATATGATTATTTTAACAAATCTAAACAATGTATTAAACAAAAGAGATGTTTTATATTTGATAAACATATTTAATGGTTTGAGAATATCATATTTATTTCAAAAAATCTAAGAATAAAATAAAATTTTTTTGATTGGTTTAAGGGACAATGACACTAATTTTTTAAAAAAAGTCATCACCTTTTACACAATATGCATGTGTGTTGTTGAAAGATGAGAGGGGCAGTTGCCCCCTCATGCTATAAGGTAGATAAGTCCTTGTTTAGGGGGCTGATGGATCCGGTTATGAAACAAATTTAATCCAAAACATTTGCAAACATTAACAAGAAGAACACTAGGCAAGCTACGCTAGTAATCATATCGATAATTGATTGGATAAACTATGTTTTCACCCCCATCAACCATGGTGCAATCTCATTTTGCCCTTTTAACTATTAAGTTTTTCAGGTTGCCCCTTAAACCACTTGAATTTGTTTCACATTACCCACAAACCAAACAACTGACATATTTAGAAAGGAAAAAAAAGCCCAAATGTATACTAAAATGCACACTTCTAGGGTTCATAATTGCGGCATCGCGAAATCAATAACTACAATTGAAGGTGCAAAGTGATAACTATAATAGTTTAGGAAACAATTTAAGTGATACACGTGATAGTGGAGAAACAATGTGAAGTAGGGACATAGTTGAAGGATCAAATTGTAATTTATCCTAATTGATTATAGGCTCCCAGTAATGTCATCTTGTTTCGCAAAGATTATTTCCATATAAATGTTAGTAACGCATGTAAATTGTCACGAGTTCAAAAATTTGAATGTACAGCGTGTTCAAATCAATTGTTGAGTGTACAAAATGAAATCAATATGATAGTGTAAGGGGACAAAGTAATACTAACCCGTCCACATTATTTGAGACTCAGATGAATTGCACAAATTCAGTTCTTTCAAACCAAAATTTGTCAAGTGCAAAAATGCATAACCTCTATAGAGAAGGATGACCAAATGACCATTTTTGTCTTACAATGCAACTCCAAAGACTGTAGCTTAAGTTTGCAATGAAGCTAAGGGTTTACACTTTTGTAGAACTCCATAACCCAACTGTTATAAGCACTGCATATGACTTCACAACCCGAAAATCCAGATTTTATCGCCAAGGCCTTGTATTCCTTCTTTGTCCGCTCTTTTCCACCAGGATTTTGAGCTAACATGAAAAGATCTTGTTCAAAGACGATATGTGAAGAAACATTATTCTCAGGAGCCTCGGGGAGAATTGATTCTACGATAATCACCTTTCCACCATGGTCAGGGAGGGCTTCGCAACAGTTCTTGAGAAGCTTCAAGCAATGCTCATCACTCCAGTCATGGAGTATCCACTACAAATGTCATAAAAACACCAGATTTAGACTTACTAAAGCAGAACGAGGAGAGTATCATTGAAGGTTGAGTTCTGCCAGGAGAATTAATTTAAAGAACTGAGTAGTAAGTGTAATTTTGCTGAAATCTATTTTGCAAAACCACTTGATATCAAACTCTATTTGTTATCTTCAATCATGTAAAATAAGCTTATATATATTCTTTGTTATGGAACTAAGATGAAAAGATTTCCTGATAGGACTGAAGTCACATGTTCTACTACTAATTTGAACTATACATCCTTCGTGTTGTTTGAACAAGTTAAAAGTTCACATGAAAAAATTTAGAGTTAAGGTGTGGCGAAATAACTCTGCTAACGTAGAAAATATTCAATTCCATTATTTTCATCTCAATGATAATTCCATCAACTGAATCCTCAACAGGGGACATGGTTTTCCACTTTTTGACGTAAATTCAAAGTAAAACGTTCTTCATTTTTTTCATTTTTTTTGAATAAAGCATTAGTTACAGATTAACATAAAATAGGCACCGGAAGGGCACTAGTCTCACCTTCATAAAAATAGCATCACCTTTTGGAACGCTAACAAACATGTCTCCCCCAACATGCTCAACTCCTAGACCATAATAGATCAGTTTGTAAGTCATAGCTTGCATTTCATCAAATATTGCAAAACAATTAAAAAACAACACTACACTAAATCAAATAGCTGGGAGAAAATTAAAATCAACAGTTGGATAGGAAACAATGGTTGTTTGCCAGCAGAATTCGTCCCAACTAGCCCGAGCAATTATATCTAATGGATAGGAAAGACACTGTCTTGGTAAACCTCCTGCCTTGTATAAGTTGGTGTAATGCACTGTAAAATTGAATTCAATGCCAAAATTATCGGGAAAAAACAGTTGACTTTGGTGTTTGGGTTTAAGCTACGGAAACAGTCTCTGCACACGCACAGATAAGACTATGTACCTAAACTCTCTCCCAAACCCACAACTGACGTGGTGAGACTAGTGTACTGGGTTAACATTTTTTAAGAGAAAAAACAAGCAGGAAATTTCTAGTGAACAAAGCAGGGGGTTGACTCAATACCTGAATAAGATGGGGCATCAGCTAAAACATGAGGCAAATCATAATTAATGCCTTTAATATGAGGGTACTTGGAAGTTATGATATTGAGAGTCACTCCAATGCCACCACCCACATCAACCAACACTTTGAGGCCTTCAAATCCTTTGTAAATGTCAAGGATCTTCCTCAAGATCAAGGTCGTGTGATGCGACATTGCCTGGTTAAATACCCCATTGAACCTTTGGTCTGTTCCTGGGTATTCAAATGCAGTCATTCCATAAGCCCTGTTAAATGGAATCCCCCCTTCGAGTATAACATCATTCAAATGGTACCTAAGACCAATGACCATAGAGTGAGCATATGATGACATATAATCCGCACCAAAAAATGAAGAAAACTTTCCGATAGAGATGCAACAACAATGATCATGGATATAGCAGTTCTCCAAAGTACATTCAGAGTGAAACTCCAAAAGAAATAATATATATCATCATTATTTGATCAATCATTTAAAATCTTGCATTATTTAGTTGAGATCATCATTTTTTTGTCAGGTTTTCTAATGTCCCTTATAGGTAAGGGGTATATTTCTCTTACATGTTGTAAAGCTCAGTGTTACTTTTGTAATGTCGTCTACATGTCAATTGGTCAAATGTCAATAGGGTGTGAATGTAATTTACCCAAAATACAAAACCAAACCCTCCTTTTCTTCGAGGAAAAGTAAGGGTGCTTGATTTGATTTGTGTTTCAAAAAATAGTATCTGAAAACAGTTTTTGAGAAAAATTTTAAGAAATTGGTTTTGATATTTTTTGAAATAAAAAACTTGTTTGGTTAGATAATTTCAAAAATAATTTTACAATACAGAAAATAGTAAAACCTGTTTGGACAGTTTAAATATATATTTGAATATTAATTCAAATATTAATAAAAAAATATAAAAAATTTATTTTTAGATTGACAATTTTATAAAAAAAAAAAATCAATAAACCAAATTTTAAAATATATATATATATATATATACTAGGCATAACCCACGCCTAAAGACACAACAAAATATAAAATTTGAGCGTTCAAAAAATTGATTCCACTATATTAAATTTTTTTAAAATATATTAATTACAAATTAATTAAATATTAAATAATTAAATATATGATAGAAATGAGTGGTGCGATATTTTTAAGGAGGAAATATATAAATAATTAAATAAGTGATAAAAATGAGTGATGTGATTTGATGTTTGAGTCTGACAAAAGAATGATGAATGAGGTAAGTGATTGATGATAGTTTTGAGAGGAAAAATATGACTGAGATAAAATTCAAACACAGTCCTGTTTTATTATATAAATATAAATATATATATATATATATAAATTTGTATATATATATATATATATATATATATATATATATATATATATATATTGTTCTCTTTGTTTCAAAAAGTTTCAAAAAAAACTCTGAAAATAAGTTACACTTATTTTCTGTTTCTTTGACTCAAATCTTATTTTTTTTCTCAAAATTTAGAGAATAAAAATACTAAACAAAAAAGTTTTGGATGTTTTTAAAATTTTGAAAACAGAAAACTATTTTACATATGCTAAGCAAACATGGCCTAAGATTTCTCCAATTTTTTGAGGCCATTCTTTCAATTTGACCCATTCTAGTTTACACTACATTGGATTAAAAATCCAATGCAATTCAACATTTTCTTCACTACTATATTTTTTCGAGAAACAAAGAAAATAAAACTATAGGATTAATTTCCCAAACAAAAACAAAGAATAAATGGCAAAATAAAACCTTACCAGCTCTCCATGAAGACCTTGTCATGGTGCAACAAAAGCAACGGTCCCACAGACCCACCATCCTGATTCTTCATCAAGAACTCGCATATGGGTCCCGCACCATACAGTCTCTGCATATCACCATTCTCTCCGGTCCGTAAACGGCACCGTAAGACATCATAACTCGCCAGAAGCCTTAACATCCGGTCCAGAAGAATCGGCGCGTCGGGGTTGCGGGTGGGGAGATGAGCCGCGATCTCGGAAGGTAAGAGGTACGCGCCGTCGCCCGCGGCAGAGATGGTGTCGATGAGGTTGAGCTCCAGAGCTGATTTTAGGACCATTGGAAGTACCACGGCGTTGGCTAGCCAGACTGCCTGTTTGCCCACCTCTTCTTGGTCGTCGTGTGGGTGATGAGGAGGGGTAGTGTCTGTTGGGTTTGTTTGTGCAGTACTCATTTTGTGCTGCTTTGGTTGAGGTGGTATTCGAACGCGAGTTTATACAGGAAGGGGAGAGAGGAGGGGGGGGGGTGTTGGTGGGTTTTAACTTTTTATCAGGATTTAATGGTATCGTGCAAAGAGTTCAATTTTATTGGTACACATTTTTCAAAAAATGAATCATGAGAGGGGCTCTAATATTGATGTTGATACCGTACCCTACCACATAAAAAGTGTGGTTAGCAATTTTTTGTTATTAAATATTATTTATTAAAGATAACAACTTTGTCCATAAAAGTCGGTGGATTTGTCTGTGCAGTACTCATTTTGTGCTGCTTTGGTTGAGGTGGTGAACGAGAGTATATACGAGAAGGGGAGAGAGAGAGAGAGGAAGGTGATAACTTTGCTTATAAAAATTGTTGGATTTATTTGTCCGGTACTCATTTTGTGCTGCTTTGGTTGAGGTGGGGAATGAGAGTTCGTACATAAAAGGGGGAGATAGAGGGATTGTGGGTTTTAACTCTTTACCAGGATTTGATGGTACCATGCAAAAAGTTCGACTTTATTGGTGCGCATTTTTCAAAATTAACTTACGGGAGAGGCTCTGGTACCGATGTTGCTATTGTACCATATCATAAAAAATGTGTGGTTATTAATTTTTTATTATTAAATATTACTTCCTAAAGATGATAATTTTTCTTATAAAAATTGTTGGGTTTGTTTGTGCGGTATTCATTTTGTTCTGCTTTGGTTGAGGTGGTGAACGAGAGTTTTATACAGGAAGGGGAGAAAGAGAGAGGTTGTGGGTTTTAACTTTTTACCAGGATTTGATGGTACCATGCATAAAGTTCGATTTTATTGGTGCGCATTTTTTAAAATTGAATCACGGGAGAGGCTCTGGTACCGATGTTGGTTCCGTACCGTACCGCACCATAAAAAAAGTATGGTTATTATTTTTTTGTTATTAAATATTACTTACTATAGGTGATAAATTTATCTATAAAAGTTATACATTTTTTTTCTAATGATTATAATTTTATTTATAATGGTGATAATTTTATCTCTAAATGTGATAATATTACCTTAAGGGTCTGTTTGGTATATTTCTTGAGAGGGGTTTGAATTAACTTGTTCAAACGCGGGTTTGACCTAAAGATGGTATTCAAAGATGAGATTCAATATTCAACGATATCCATACCCATGTTTAGTATGTGCAGGGATATATGATTATTATGATAATATATTTGTATATAAATGCCTATTTTACCCCTTAACAAATTTAATCCAAACCCATGTGGGGATATATGAGAGGTATAAATGTCTTTTTTCTATGAAATTCATTAACCCACCTATGAAACTCACCCCCCATGGATTTCATGAAACTCAAGTTCATGAGTTTCATGACCGAGCCATCCAACGGGCTGGGTTTTCAAACCCTAGGCTAAAACATAGGTTACGAAACATGAGTTTAAGGAGTTTATTCCCCAATCCACAATCCAAACCCTTTCCAAACCCATATACCAAACAACCCCTAAAGGGTCGTAAACATACCTCAAAAGATTGTAACCACATCTCACATCTAGAGGTGATATTATTACGTTTATTGCTTAATAACATAACCTTAAATAGTTATAATTTTGCATCCAAAAGTAATAATTTTATCATAAATGATTATAACCTCATATCAAAAAGTTATAATCTAACATCTAAAGTTGGTAATTTTATTTATACAAAACGTAGTTTAGTCTCAAATGATTATAATCTCACTTTCAAAAATAGTAATTTTACTATTAATTGTTGTAACTTTACCTAAAGAGTTGTATCTCACTTTTAAATGTGATAATTTTATTTTTACAGGTTGTAATTTAATCTTAAATCACTGTACCCTCACTTCCAAATATAGTAGTTTTATCTTAAAAGATTATAACCTTTCTTCCAGAGGTTATAACCTCTCATCTAAAAGTGGTATCTTTATTTTTACTAGTTGTATTTTAACTATAAATTATTGTAATATTACCTTTGAAAATAGTAATTTTACCTTAAAATGTGATAATTTTATCTCAAAAATTATAACTTTGTCTTTGTAAAAAATAACATTACCTTTAAGGTGTGACTTCATTTTTAGTAGGCATGATTGATTATGATTATCTAGGATCGATCCCAATGCCTCTGATGGATCCAAATTATTATTATTATTATTTTTTTGCGATTCCACTCAATTAGACTCGATTATGACTATATGAGATTGATCTTAATGCATTTGATGGTCCAAAAATTCTTCAAAATTAAATTTCTGGTGATTCCAATTAGATAGGATCGATCATGACTACCTGAACCTTTTTTTTTTTTGAACTAGTCCCGATCCTATATTTAGTTACATCAAATTGACATGTAATTTTATGAAATTAATTTTTAATTTTATCCAATTAACACTCAATTCATAAAAAATAACATTAAATTGACCTTCAATTGTATTAAATTAATATTCAAAATTAAAAATTAAAAATTCATCAAATTAACATTAAATTGACATTCAACATTTTGTTCTGTTCAAAATATAAATTGATGAAATTAAATATTACCAAAAAAATTTAAAGGTTCAATTAACGTTAAAGGTTAAATTGATGAAATTAAATTTTAAATTAGTAAACTCGAATGTTAATTTGGTTAAATTAAAAGTCAATTTGATGTTAATTTAATGAATTGAATATTAATTAAATAAAATTGAAGGTTAATTTAGTGCCAATTTTATAAAATAAAATTTTAAATCGACAAATTTAAAATTTAAATTAGATAAATGGTTCAAAATAAATATTAAATTAATAAACTTAATATTAATTCGAGAAGAAATTAGCATCTTTTGATATAAAATTACTATGGTTAAACATTCATCTTTCGAATTAGATTGATCGCAAAAGAACTTATGATTGATCTTAATTCAAGCCGCCCTTTCTTTTTTGGCATTCTATTTTTACTTTTTCACCAAGGCCCACCACGTTTTTAGTATGGTACCGACTTTTTCTGTATTGAGGACCATAGAATTTCCCTTGAATTATTGATAAGACTATATAAAAAACATTTATTGAAAAAATTCAATCTATATATACATTTTTTTTGGTATTAAGTACAAGTTTAAATATTGAAAAATGTTACATAATTTAAATGAAACCCAAAAATTAAAATTAAAATACAATCATCTCTTTGATGAGTGTAGGATGAGTGTGCTCTATTGAAAAAATTGATAGGACCCATTCATCTAAAAGATGATATGCATTTGAGTTTCATTTGAATTGATTTTAATAATTTTTTTCACATTTTCAAGTTCAATTCTAAGAAAATTTAAAATTTAATTTTTTAAAACTTTTACGCTCAAGTCCTTAAGGCCTCTCTGTCTCCATTGTCTTCAGAAAAAAACAATAAAATTATAGTTTGAGAACAATCAATTGAAGAACATTACCATTATAAATTAAGATGGTAATTGCAAAGACAGAGAGAGTCGTGATGGATGAAGACAGGGTTGGTAGAGTCGTGGACCAACCAGTTCAAAAGAGAAAAAAGGACGGAGTCTTGGCCGCTGGACTGGGGGTTGAGATAGGTTCCAAACCCATTTGGTCGAACCATATCCCACAGCCTGGACACAGAAAGTTACCTCAGACATCAGAGGCTATGGTAAGACATACCCTGTCTCCAAGAGTGGACTGCCATTTGGCATCCCCTAATAGGGTCTGAAACTGACTGTTGTCATCTGATGAATCACTTATATACTTCAAACACAATGATGCATGTTAGTACTTTCAACAAAAATTAAGCAACACTTAACAATACATGATTATCAGTAATAATGACTACTTAGGCTATCTCTTTACTCAAACCAACTTATAAATACGCCTCATCAATGAAAGGAAATGATAGGCAACGAGAGATGAAAAGAAAACACTGGCCATTAGGTCACTAATCCTCTCCTCTCACACACACTATTGTTACAATTGACTACTTCACTTATTGAATTGGGCATTAGAGGTGGTTCGGCTGGTACCTCACTAGTGCCCTATTCTCTTAACCTTTCTTGATAGGTTCTGATGATACTCAAAATTTGGCCAAGGTTGAGCTCGGTCCTTCAGTTCAGCCATCTGAATTCGAGTCATACAGCTCATTACAAACAACCAGAGGCGCTCAGGTCAGCCCCCCGACAATAATACCTTAATGGGAACAACAAGGATGACAACTGGCACCCAAAAAAAATGCTACGCATAAACCGCAATGGTCTTGCATTTAGGCAAGAGAGGCAAAACCACCTCAGCACTATCCATGGTAATTGCATAACAGATGCATCTGTTATAAAGAAAAGGCAAAGATCATGGTAGGAAATCAGGCAAGGCCTTGGAAGACTATAAATAAGAGGTATATTCCCCAAAATGAAACACAAGCAATTAGCCTAAACAAATATTCTGTGTAACCCCTTCCTTTATCAATAAAATATTCTGTAAGAGCAAGTGACTCATTTAAGAGTGAATTAGTTGAACTTCCGAGCTAGTGAACCACTATAAATTCTCTGTCTGCAATCCTTGATCATTTGTTCAATTCTGAAGAGCATAGGAGCTCTGATTAGATCACCTAGTGATTCCCTAACCCCTATAAATAACAACCCTGTTAAATTGCGTAGCACACACCATCAGTTGACGCCGTCTGTGGGAAAAGTCTGTTTCTTGTTAAAAACCCTACTGATTACTTTAGTAATTGATTGTTTCTATGCGCAATATGAGTAAAAATTAGATGAACTCTCTACGTTTGCAAAACCAACAAGAAATCGCCACTGAGAGGCGGTAGGAAAATTCTCTAAATCCCTTACCTAATCCTAAAACTAATCCACCGATGGCAGACCCCTCTCCAAACAAAGAACTCGAGACTCTCCGTCAAGCCAACAATCACCTCCTCTAGCAAAATGAGGAGTTACTAAACCTCATACACGCCCAACGAGGGGAACATCAACACCCTAATCCCTTAAGGAAAATTGTGGAGAAGAATGAGCACTATTAATCAGTTAACAATGTTCGTCGTCAAGCTCAAAGGAATGAGGAGGACGAGGAGATTCAAAGTTAGAATAGGGGAACTTTT